TATCGAAGCCTTTGAAATACATAACCGTAGCAAAAATATTATGAACGGTTGCATAGGTAGAACAATTGGTATTTAATTAACCAAACACTGCTTGACCGGACTCGTAGCTAATTGACATTTCAATAGATTTTATAATTTTTTTATTTTATTCATGAATTTTTAATAGACTAGCTTGTATATAATAGACGTATATATTGTAATAAGTAATATTCCACTGATGAAGCCTTGACCGGCGAAACGTCTGGAAAATAAAATATTTTTAACATCTTTTTATTCCAATTTTATGCCTGAAGAAAATCTTTTTAACCTTTTCATATATATATATATATATATATATATATATATATATATATATATATATATATATATATATATATATATATATATATATATATATATATATATCCGAAATCATGTATAATCATCAATATTGTTGGGAAAGCATTAGAAGCAGTTAACCTACAATCTCGTGCAAAAATTATTGAGACAACTAAGTCATTGCCCCCCTGCTTCCACAAACAATGTTGGACTAACGATCCAAAGGTATATTGTCAGGTCAAATTTTTTTAAACATTGTAAGGGGGGAGGGGAAAAAGTAATCAAGGAAATAGAACCAAATATCAAAAGTATCATTATATCTTTGCACGAGATTGTAGGTTGCATGAGTGCCAACTCTCACACATTTTATCCTAGTTTGATTCGGGAATATACCAAGATGTCCTAACGAAACAAGAGCTAGAAAGTGATGACTTTCGTAAATTGATAACGCCCATTTATGAAAACATGACGTTGTAGTAATTTACAACTCTGAATGTCGATTAACAAAGTTTGTCATAAGCTATAGGATGTTTGTGGTCACGTGACGTTAGATAAATGCAATGTATTCTGCCATTAACAAGTTAAAATTGTAGCCGCGGACCGGCTGCGTGCATAAATAAGCAAATTGGTGGCAAAACTCGCAGGTTTCAATGTAAAAGAGAAGATTATGCTGCTAAAACCGTTTAAATTGGCTCGCTACACATTTTTAAAAATTAAAGTTTTTCTGATTTGGATAGGAATTTCTGGAGAATTATTATTTGTTTTGAAAAACAAGGACTATCTGACTTGTAATAACTAAGGAGTTCGGAATTTTTAAAAAAACTACTCCTAACTGCCGTTGCTATGACCCCATTTTTATTTCGCAAAATGATTTCTTTTAGTATTTTGAATTATTTTCATGATTTAAAAAAGATCTAAATTGGCAAAAAAATTATTCCAAATTTTCACATTTTCCTATCTTGAAAAATTTTGGCATGACCGAATTTTTTTTAAACTCGAAAAATAATTCAAAATAGCGATAGAAATCATTTTATGAAATAAAAACACGAAGGTCACCGAAGGTTTTTTCGAGTTAAATTACATTAAACATAAAATATCGGCCATGTACGTTGTGACGTCATTGTTGCCATAACAACGGCTGTTAGGATTAGTTTTTGAAAAATTCCGAACTCCTTAGCTATTGTGTTGTGCCAGTCAGAAACTTAATTAAACAAATAATAATTATCCAGAAATTTATGTCCAAATCCGAAAATCTTTCATTTAAAAAGGTGTAGGGAGCCACCTTAAATAGGTTCTTTAAGTTTAATCTTGTCTACACTATAGAGCTTTTGTCATGAAATACAACTGTTGTATGAATGTTGTTGATTTTTGTTTCGTCGCTATTTAACAAAACACTTTATGTCTGTTCCTTCGGGAAATAATTTTTTCCCCTCGACTCTCAATGTTTCCTTCAACTTTGTCTCGGGAAAAATGGGTCGAGATTCTCGGGAAAACAAGACTAACTATCTCTTTTCGGGAGCAAAATTAACTGTATTTTCATTCACTATATGACTTGCACTCGCTTGACTTCACTATATCGTCGCCCCACATTCTTGTAAATTTCCCTTAATTACGCTAATTTCGCTAACAAAGTCACCAACTAACACTGCACGTGTAAATGTAAATAAAGAAAATTCAAAGAATTTTCTCAAATGTGTCATTAATTTTACTTTAGGTTACTGACAACGCCCTGCAGCTTGGTGCCGCACTTTCGCTAAATACTGTAATCCAAGAATTGATGAACTGTTCTCAGAATTCCAAGTCATTTGAGATTCTTGCAACTCACATTAAAAAGGTCAAGTGAAAATGACATATGTTTCTGCAATACTAGTCTAGGACCTGCATAGGAGTTTGTACGCGTTTTATTTAGCACAGTTAATCTCAACATTTTTAGGGTAAAATGACCATGGCGGTCAACATAACATATGTGCCGAAACCTGAATCCGGGACCAACAACCTGAAAACGACCCCGCCCCGAAACGGCAGTGCCGACATAGCTCTAACTTCCGAAAAGCAAAAGGAACGCATTAGCCAAGCTAGTCTAAATTCATCAATCGCGGGCGCATATGGCTATGGTTCTGTTCATGGCTGGTCATCCTCACCGATCTCAAAATATGTAGTGGACTCTCGTGAATAGCGAACACTGACTGGTCGAATTTGAAATTTGCATTATAACGACATGACGTCAGCGAAATAACATTTCTTGCAAATAAATTGTATTTTTGCAAGATTTTGTAAATTTCAAAACTTCATTGAGAAAAAAGCGCAAAAACATCTAAAAGAATGGAGGAAAGACGCCCCCGCCGACATATAATTTCAGTGCTTTTTTTATTAATTACCTTTTTTATTATATTACATGTTTAAATATACAGGGTGTATCAAAAAAAAGGTAATCAAACTTCAGCGCGCTATTGTATCTGAATTACTCTAAGTATGAACGAGATTTTTTCACATTCGGAAAGATCATGCTATTAGCTGTTAAATGACATTTTCTTCATGCCAAATGGATAAAAAATGAGGAAATACGAATCCGATAAAAAATCTTAGTCAAAATCGCATATTTTCACCGTTGAGAGTTAGGTCTAAAACCATTGAAAATGAATTCCCTTTAGGACTTAAGTTGATGAATTTCACTTATTAAACTGAACACATATTCATAATCTTAGCTAAGCTACGACACGTTCGTGATTAATTGCTTTTTTCTTTTGTTATGCATTGTTTTAATTAGGCACAGAGGTGAAAATATGCGATTTTGACTAACATTTTTAATCTGCCTCGTACATGCTTATTTTTTCTCCACTTGGTATAAAAAGCATGTCATTCAATAGCTAAGAGCCTGATCTTTCCGAATATGAAAACCAATTGTTCATACGCAGAGTAATTCACGTATAATAGCGCCCTCAAGTTCGATTACCTTTTTTTTATACACCCTGTAGAGGAATGTAAAGTTATTTTCTTGCGAGAATTTGAAATCAGTCAATTTCAAACTCACAAATTACCGATAAAGGCAGTATAGTTTTAAGAACATTTAAAACGTTTTGTGTAGCGTTTGTGGTAGAATTTTACATCAAATTGAAGCTTATATTACGTATAATAACGCATAATAACATACCTAGCATGTATGTGTTTGGGAAATTGATAATTTTGTAATTAAAAGTGATAGTTTGGGGTGATTTTTCAATTTTAAAACTATTCTTAATAAAATTATCGAATTACCATGAGAACTACTTTCAATATTTCATGTTCGGAAAACATAATGGTTTTGTTAGTAAGGTGAGGGTTTCGGCATGCATGTATTTTCTATTGCTGATATTTAGTTGGGTTGGGTTGGGTTGGGTTGGTTGGGTTGCTGTGGTGTGATTGGCCATGTTTTTGGAACACTGTTACTGTATGTAATATGACTGAACTGGACTAGATCTCATGTTCGCACAATTTCATAATTCTTGTCTAGAACGAATTGGAGGATTTGAAATGCCATCTCATACGAATGAATCGCTACTTAATTAAACTTGAGGTGAATTAAATTTGATCCAGTCTTAGGCATGGATCAATATACTTCACCAGGTATCCCGTATTATCATGCGAGCAAAATAAAGCAATATGGTTGCCTAATTTACTCATGAATTATTAATGAGTTTGAGATATAGTGAGCAAGTTTTACCCATAAATTAGATTAGAATAGCAAGTTTTTGTGCCATCTTGGAGCACGGAATGAACTCAAAATTGCTATGATTGATGTATAAATTGCAATCTAATGACGTGTGCAATATTTTTGTTTTTGGTAAATGTATACAAGAAAAGACGGAGGCATAGAAGGGCGAGGGCGGAAGCTGTTTACGCTTGGGCCGTAACGTTTGACGAACGAAGCAAAAACGGATCCGATACAATGTAGAAAGAGCTTAAAGTTATCCATTTACAATTATTGGGGGCCGACTTGGGGGCAGTGACGATACATACTGTCAACTAATACATTTAATTTTTGTTCATAGATTGCTAACGTTCCAGTTAGAAATGTGAGTACCGGAACGAATTACGTATTATTAAGGTAGAATGGTATCATTTTGAATCTAGTGAATTCATGTTAGGAGTTTTGGATAATCTCGAATTGTGAGCATATATACGCAGCAGGATGCTAAAAATATTTTAGAATCGTGATTCAATTATAACCATGCATGAATTATAACCATGGTTCACATTAATCATAATCATGGTTCACGTGAAGGCCCTTTCCGAACTATGTAGTTTTTTCGCATCGCGGTATAGCACTTCAACGTGAAAATAGCTGCATGAAGCTGCATGTATTACTGATAATAGAGCAATGGATATTATGGATTCAAATTTTTTTGTTTTGAATCATATCTAGATTGGCTGTTGGGCTGGCAACTTGATGCTGATTCACAAACATCGCGATTTCCCGTCAGATATGTTTACAATAATGTGCGCAGTTGGAACCACCATTATGATTGGTAAGATAGAAAATGGTAGTTTTTATTTAAGAAATAGAAAATAGTATCCGTGTTTCTGTACAGTAATAGAAACACGCGCGTTCGGAAGTTTGGGGGAACGGGAAATAATCAGTGAGAAACGGGCCCGTACGTACGGCGAGTTCTTCCACGTTTCTTTGAGTTCTTCCAAACTACCTCAAGTGTTTTTGTCATAGCCGCCTTTCGTGGGGAGGTGAAAATCCCCTGAGATACAAATTCTCCATATTCAAATGACGATTGAACAGCTGAATACTTTGACATGCATATTCGAATTCTTCCAGTCTCGGCAACATACATGTTATAGTTCAACTGCAATTTAATACCGACGCAGAACGCGTCATTTGGATGCGCAGTGGGGACTTTGAATTCCTTATTAACTTAGCAGTGTTTTCATCTAGGTGAAGTTGATGGTTCGAGCCAATCCTATAGTTTAGAAGAATTTTTGACCATTAACATGAGCAACAAGGTGAGATAAAATAGTACTCACGTCATGAACTGCACCAGTATATTACATGTTACCAAATAAGCAACAGGCATGCTGCTGCATTTTCAATATGTTTTTCATCATCATTGTTTCTTCTATATCCTTATTTTGCCCTTTCAGGTGGTTCTTAGAATGGACATCCCATTTTCTGCTGAAAATGAATTTGTGGGGACGTATAAAATTATGCCAAGACATCAGGTATACATTGTGTAATTGTCAAGAAATATACATTGATATTTACTTTCACAGAATGCGATCTAGTCTCTCTATATTGCGGAAAGTTTCCCATATCCTAAGAAAATAAATGTTCTGAAAATTTATCCTTTCTAATCGGCGACACTCTTCATTTGTGTTTTTGAAAGGGTTAAAGCCTGTTCAAACGAGGGCAACATGTCGGTCCAACATTACATCAGTGTGGATTATAACTATTTTGCTTGGGTCTGAAAAGATGTCCGCTCAAGTGTGCAGTTGTTTGGACCAACTTTTCAATATTTACATTGATTGGTCGTGCTGATCACTTCTCCAATCATGGCCAACCATGACCAATCATAATTAACTTTTGCTAAGTATTCTAAACAATCAATGCAACTAGGGACGTCGCGAAGCCATCAACATTGGGTCGTCATGTTTTGACCAACATTTCCTACTATTTTGACCAAGTCGTAAAAAAATTTTCCTGAAAATGTTGTCGACGGGGGGAGGGGGGAAGTAATATATGAACAACGAGAGCGAGTGTTTCACCGGGATATCCAAACACGAGAAAACAATGTATGTAAACACGAGAGCGAAGCGCGAGTGTTTCATACATTGTTTTCGAGTGTTTGGATATCCCGGTGAGACAAGAGCTCGAGTTGTTTATATGGCTTCTCGAATGAATCGAGACGTAACAGAATGTTTTCGTTTGCTGATTTGAAAAAGAATTCTTAACCAAACATAACGTAATTAGGAATTCTATATCTATTCAAGTAATTTTGCATGCGTAATTAAGATATTTGATGAAAACACTACTGAATTTCATCAAATATCTTAATTACGTATGCAGCTAAACTCTTGTGGTGCTGTGTCTGACGGTGCTTGACCGCGGTATCCAAACAGCATCTTATGACGGAATGCTTACATGCTATTGGTTTAACTACTCATCAATTATTAATTAGAAGGTTAGGTCAAAAACATTTTTTCGGACTAACATAAACATAGCCAAAAAAAAATTTCCAGACCAACATAAGCAAATTCAAAATTCTTCGACCAAGACGGGCAAAACTTCCAATTTTTTATCGCAAACGTCAGCCTAGACATAGGCCTTCTATTTTTATTTATATATTTTTAATATTCAGCGCTTTTTCACATGAAAAGACTGGGACTAGGTGATTTGGGGGCGTGGCGGAGGAAGGACACAAGCCTGACGCAAGCGAAAAAATAGAAGGCCTAGTGGATTTCCCAACAACAAGGCCAAAACTGCCCTGGAACTGCCCTGGTTGCGAAATGCTCAATTATTGCGTTCTCAAACAGAATTATTTGCAACTTAACAGCGAATTTAACGATACATTTAAAATAAACTCATTTATGGTATAAACTTACTATTTTTATATGTATACACGTCTAGAAAATCGGGGTTTTTATCATAAAGTTTGAAGCAACACTATTATTAATAATATGTTGACAAGGTGAAGCGAAAGCACAAAATAATAATTCTTTTATTCACAAGACAATGAATAACTATATTTGCGAATTGGCAATAAGGATTTTGAAATTATTGTTCAAATATTACGGATATTCCATTTGTAAACAATGTACGTTTTTATATACAGTACTGTACGGGCTAATAATGTATGTATCCGTTTTATTTAATAAATTATAATTGTATATGTGTTTGTATATTTTACAAACACAAGACTGCTTCTTGCCAAAATTGAGAATATATATTAATGTAGTTGTGTATAAGACAAAATTTCATGAAAGATTCTACTTTTGGTACATATTTTGACTCATTTTGTGCTTTCGCTACACCTTGTCAAC